CTCTACTCTACTCTACTCTACTCTACTCTACTCTACTCTACTCTACTCTAAAAATCAAGATGATCTTCTAGGGTGTCTAAAGGAAAATAAACATTGCCTGTGCAAGAACAGGAGATGTCTGAACTGCTAATTCCCAATTTACAAATTGCAGCCTTTATGTGTGTCTGGCATGAACAGGTGCCTCTAAAGACACGCACAAATATTTGCCAGCCTGAACCATCTTGGCAGCTCTTCCATTGACACCTCAGTAATCATCTTGATTTTTAGAGTAGAGTAGAGTAGAGTAGAGTAGAGTAGGGTAGAGTAGAGTAGAGTAGAATAGAATAGAATAGAATAGAATAGAATAGAAAGACCTGCAAATAGAAATAGAATGATTGTGGCAGAAGCAAGCAAAGGTAGTCTCAATAGTAATAGGCACCTTGAGTGCAATCCCAAAACAACTGGAGCTCCATTTGAACACCATCGGCATTGACAAATTCACCACCAGTCAACTGCAAAAGGTGGCTTTACTCAGAGCAGCTTCCATCCTGCGACAATATCTGTAATCAAATACCCACATCTGCCTAGCCCAGGTTCTTGGAATGCTCTCGATTGGTAGACAAAAAATGCCAAATCCAGTCTGAATATCTGGCTGATATTGTGGCAAACCATAATATCTTTTAGGAAGCTCAGTGATTTATTTTACCCATCTGCCTCCCCTTCACAATAAATGTTCACAATAAACCTGTGACATAAGTTAGGCAGCAAAGTTGCGGTCAAATGTGTCTAAATAAAAACCTTTGATATAAAAAAGTTGGTCCAAAATTAACATTTTAACCAGTATAACACGGTTGCCACACTCCAAACCTGGGGGCCTCTTGATATATCAAGTTATAATTCTTCTCAGACAGCCTGGGGATTATTGGAACGATGCTCCAACATGTCTGGATGACACAATATAGGGGAAAAAACTGTACTGGATTCTATCGGTGTTGATATTATTAGAATAAATAATAAACAAAAGAGAAGAGAAGAGATGGAAGGGATCTTGGAGGTCTTCTAGTCCAACCCCCTGCTTAGGCAGGAAACCCTATACCGTTTCAGACAAATGGTTGTCCATTCTTTTCTTAAAAGCCTCCAATGATGGAGCATTCACAACATCTGGAGGCAAGTTGTTCCACTGATTAATTGATCTCACTGTCAGGAAATTTCTCCTAAGTTCTAGGTTGCTTCTCTCCTTGATTAGTTCCGCCCCTCAATTGCCTCTTGTCCTGTCTTCTCCATAAATCTTCTCGGTTCCCTTCTACTTCCATCAACCTTGCTAAGCATTTTTCCCCTAGACTAACATCTGCTTGCATGTCAAATCCAGAATAAGTGTCTCCTTGTTGTTCATTGGCTTAAGGGAGCAGCTAGTTGGCCCAGGATTGAGATTCTTCTTGTGGTGCATGGTACAGTGGCTCACTGCTGCAGCACAACTTTTTGAGACACTTGGTTTTGTTGCATGGGGTGATTTTCTGGGGGGAAAAAAAACCGTATGGTTCAGTTGCCCCGGAAAGCCTTCAAAAAGCAAAGGAGTTCTACAAGAAACCTTAAATCTTGTTTTCTCTTCCTAGACCTCCCTTTTCTTGTACCTTCCCACTATCTGCCTGGAGGTGTCTAGGACAGTGTTTCTCAACCTTGGCAACTTGAAGATGTCTGGACTTCAACTCCCAGAATTCCCCAGCCAGCGTTCGCGGGGTGGGGGATTCATGGAGATGCTGGCCAGACACCTTCAAGTT